TGCTGAGTACTAACAGTTGCAAACCCAGATATTTCAACCAGTACCAAGGTAACTGGGGGGCTTTGTCAAATTAGCAGCTTATCCCAATTGTCGAGTCCAACTAGCGGCATCAATAATTCCATTATTTGTATATACTGTAATCTCTCTATCAATTGGCTTATTAGGAATTGCCAAAGTGATAGTTTCCTTGCCCTCATTGAAAGACTTCATTTTTGACATAACCTTTCATGGTTAATATACCCTTAACCTATACTTAATGCGATTACGTCGTGATCGCCAAATTGGTTGGATATTTCGCACAGAATGACCGAGCTGTCATTATATCTATCTTAATACTTCTCGTGATCATTAATGACGGACGATCAATGCCAGTATGAGCGAATTTCGCGGTATGCAAGCTGGTGACATTCTTTCTCTGCGAACTAGTAATGGTGCGTCCGAGCAGATCGGTTCTCGCAAGCGCGCGTTAAAAGATATCGAGGGTATTTAAACGTTCATTCAAGCTAAAAGTCTTAATATTGATAACATCGTAGATGATGATTATGAGCGCACGGCAAGCACGACTAGCTGCGGAGACCCAGTCCGATTATCTTGGAGCTCTGACTCTGATGATCGTGGATCTGTCGAAACTACAAGAGAACAAGCCGCGTCAGGTATGCTATGACTTGTCCATACACATCGGTTGTGGTATTCCTTAACGCTACGCTAGTTGTAAAACATGGCAAGAGACGACTCACACGGAAGAAATCGCGGAATGAGGAACCAACAGCAGTCCCGACATATATTAATGCCCGACGTCAGAAATTCGACCAGGCGACCAAAGACCCACACAACCTTGCATTACCACCAAACTACGACGGTATATTAGACCTATCTAACGATTTTCTGGATGCGGAGGATGTTCGGCCGCAATTTAAGATGGCACCGAACGGTGCGTTTCAAGATATCTGGTTGAGTAAGAGTTTAGGTATCATTCCGGCGCCGATCGCTCAATTTTTGCGGTCATATCAGGTTGACGGCGTTGCTAAGATGCACGAGAAGTTTGTGAGTGCGAATACTGTTGTAGAGGCCAAATTAGTTGAGGCTGACTTGACAGGTTTTTCAACAAGGTATGATTCTCGGCGACGACATGGGCCTCGGCAAGACGGTCCAGGTTATTGCTTTCCTGACCGTCGCTTTTGGCAAGTCTGCTGATTCGAGAGACCGTCTTCGTATGCGGCTTATGCGACGGCATGAACGATGGTATCCGAAAGTTTTGATTATCTGCCCCGGCACATTAATTCGAAATTGGGAGCGAGAACTTAATACGTGGGGTTGGTGGACTATTGAGGTATTCCATGGCACAAAGAAGTATGACATTCTCAGTACCGCCAGACAGGGTCGACTAGAAATTATGCTCACAACATATAAAACTTATGATATTTACGAGAGCGAGATCAACTTGGTCGAATGGGATTGTGTAGTTGCGGATGAATGCCATCTAATCAAAGAGTCCGAAGCGGATGTCACAAAGGCGATGGCAAAAGTCAACAGCCTGTGCCGAATTGGATTGACCGGTACCGCTATCCAGAATTCGTATGAGGATATGTGGTCGATCCTTAATTGGGCTAATGTATGTTGCCTTCTCGTTTGCTAATTGCACTCCCTGACAATATGTAGCCCGGAATGATTGGAGACAAGAAAACGTGGATTAAGAAAATTAGCAAGCCACTCAAGGCCGGGCAGTCCCATGCTGCTACATGGGCTGAATTGAAACTTGGTCGTGTATGTAGTGAAGAAATGTGTTATACTATTTAGTACTGACCAATGCAGAGTACCGCTGCTAGTCTTGTCACAAATCTGCTGCCGCGATTTTTCCTCCGTCGGTATGCTTGCGTTCTCAACGTATTCGGCTAACGACGCTAACAGCCTCAGAACCAAAGCGCTAATAGCGGACCAGCTCCCCAAGAAGCGCGACATGGTCGTGTTTTGTCCGTTAACAACATTGCAGACGGAAGCATATGCGAATTACATGCAACCCAGCGACGGCCAGCGCTTCGCGAAACTCGTATCGCCATGTATCTGTTGCGACAAGAAAAATCCAAATCCGAAGTGCGAATCCTGCAAGACTGCCAAATCTGACCAGAGTGAGCATTTTTTTCGTAAATGCGTTAATGGCTTGCATCTAGCCAATCATTTAGCCTATGTCATTCCCCGTATGTCCATTGAATCGTCGTATGAAAGTGATGACTCTGACAGGCCATAGGGAATGAAGATTCTCCACCGGAAAGGGAAAAGGCGGTCGCTGTTCTGAAACAGTGCCTGCCTGACAAATGGCAAAAGTATTACAAGCGGTCGCCGTTAGTGAATTATGCTGATCCGGAATTATGCGGCAAGTGGAAGGTAGCTCCGTCTTTAATAACACATTCCTGTACGTCTACTAATAATGCCAGGCGCTACAAAATCTTTTGAAACTATGGAAGAAGAATGAAGACAAAGTTCTAATATTCAGTTACTCTACCAAACTACTGAACATGCTTGATACATTACTTACGTCCAATGGGAACTACTCATTTTGTCGTCTAGATGGCAGTATGAATTACGAGGATCGTACGTACTACCTGTGTGTCTGAAATCTTCCTGATGCTTATTATCGAGAAAGGCCAAAAGCAAGTCGACAAGTTTAATGCAGATTCCAATATGTTCATCTTTCTACTTTCCACTCGTGCTGGGGGCCTGGGTCTTAACATTGTGTCTGCAAACCGAGTCGTCATCTGGGATCCAAATTGGAACCCAACGTACGACTTGCAAGCGCAGGACCGCGCGTTCAGACTTGGCCAGTACCGCGACGTAGAAGTCTACCGACTTGTTTCCGCCGGAACGATCGAGGAAATTGTGTATGCAAGGCAAATTTACAAACAGCAACAGGCGAATATCGGGTACACAGCTTCCAACGAGCGAAGGTATTTCGATGGTGTGATGGGGGAGGCCGAGAAGAAAGGTGAAATATTTGGGTCGAAGTAGGGGATTTTTCTTTCGTATAACATTGGCGTAGCTAAAATCTGCAGGAATATGTTTACGTTTGATAAAGAAAATGTGATGTTGAAGAAAATTGTCAACAAAACAAATGGTAAGCAGATCTTTGCGTGATATGAAACGGAGTGACGCTAACAGGTTGAAGTTGCCGAAGCACTGACTGCCGAAATCGCGGGTCTGCGTGTTGCAGAAATCAATGTAGATGACGGCACAACGGTAGCGGCTGATGAAGCAGAAGTGAAACATTTACTGGAAGACGATACAAACAAAGATCTGGACGACGAAGTTGCCAAAAGGAATTTTATGAATCTGACTCGAAGTGATAGGTCCAGGAAGTCTGACCGTACAGATCCTATAACAGCTATCCTGAATCACGTTGGTGTGAAGTACGTTCACAATAATTCTGAGGTGATCGGGTCATCCAAGGTTGAGGAGGAGATCAGCAAGAAGGCGTTGGAAGCAGGTCACGAGGGCCAGCAGGTTCGACCTTTCGAAGCTAGTGATCCTGGTGAATTCTTTTTCCGGCCGCCAATGGATGTTCGTCGAAGACAGGTATGTATATTGCTTAATCAATTGATATATCTAATACTAACGAAGTTCAGTTCAATTCGATGGCCAAGGCATTTGGATTCAAGTCGCCAACTGACTTTGCACTACATGTTGAGAGGATGAAACAGCATGAACGTCGTGATCTGTTAGAGGAGTTCTACACTACGAAGCTCACATCTATAGAATTGCGCTAATGTCTACCGGTGTATTAAACTGATTCCTGTAATGGATGCAATCATAAACTACCCCTCTCAAGACGCGACTTGCCGTGTTTCCGAACTTCATTATCCATCAAATCACGAATATGATGGCATCCCGACATCGCTGCGGCCATCATTGATTCCAGCCTGTCAAACTGCACTTTCATTTCCAGCAGCAAGAGAGCTACCTTCCTGGTGCCGCCGATGGTTGCCATAGTCAGGAACGGCATTGCGCTTTCTTCTATTCGGTTTAAATCTGCCCATATATTTAGTACATTATTTTCGCAACCGCGAGGTATGAAAAAAGACCAACCTAACAACACTTCTCGATCGAGCATGCCGGCAGTGCAAGCGCAAACATAGTCATACATGGGGACACCAGCATCGATTAGCGCCAACGTCGTTGCATTAATACACGCTTGCAAAACTCCTCCGTCCTGCGCGACTACATACAAATTCACATCGATCTGACTCCTTGGGAATAAGTGTGCAATCACCGCATCTTCAAACACATGCTGTATCGATGAGCACATCTCTTGTATTCGGCTGTCACTTTGGGGACGTTTCCGTCGTTCGATCGTACTGAATGGCGCGACTACTAGTTTCACGGAGATACTCACACGGTCGGGTAGCACTCGCGAGCGCAGTGTTGGCTCTGCTGGACCAATTACATTACAGATCACTTTGGTGTTACCTTGCTCGATTATCGACGACCCGTCCGATGAAATTGGATGTGTGTTGATTGCACAGCGAAAATGCCGTACTTCATTCCACCGGCGACCATCTGTTACCAATAATATATTACCATTGCTTCGATCTCTCAATATTGTCCATCAAGAAAACATACCTAGCCGTAGACCTTCGGGAGAATATATCTCGATTCGGGAGGCCTATATCGAATCAGATCAAACATTTTCAGACGCGCTGTTTATAGTCCTAATTGATCCACACAAAGGCGTAAAAGAAACAAAGGCATAAAAGAAGCTCTAGCCAGTTAAACACTTACCATTGCTTCTATGTACGTTATCACTAAGCTGAGCAATTAAATACAATTTGATGAAGAAACCAACGAACTATTTAAGCAGTAAAACGTTTGCCCTAACCCAATTGCAACTTTTGCGCCGATTTCTAAATAATAATTTGCAACTTTGCGGTTTAATATACCACGCGATTGTCACGATTATGTCAAATATGCTTATGAAATGAATTTTGTTGTCGCTGTAACAAGAACTGGTTGGCTCGATGGTTTAGTGGTATAATTCTCGCTTAGGGCATTTAACTCTAAGTTGCTATTTAATAGTTTGCGAGAGGTCCCGGGTTCAATTCCCGGTTGAGCCCAAATTTTTTTCCGGTTTCGGATTTCTTATTTTTGCTGGCTTCCTATACTATGTGTTCGGTCATTGATAAATAAAATAACGTGCTACCGGTTTCCCTTGTCATTAATGATGCCTGATCTGATTCTATGTTGAGGATAGCTCATCGCATATCTATACTATTACTGACTTCCTTTATCTTGAGAAATCAACTCGAAAGCCTGCGAAGACCATAATGCAGTCCCATTAATCCAATACCAACCAAAATCTGCACCAGAAACCATATATATACAAATTAATATGCGAGTCGACAACGATCAACCCAAGTAACAAGCCGGTCCCTCTGCTCTCTTAGCCTCCCTGAGTCAAGCCCTCTTTTGATTCAATATGAATACCCCGCAAACGATCCTCAATTTTCAAAAACTCCTCGGTGTGGTCTTTGGATTCTTTGCTGCCCATGGATTGGCTACCTGCCTGCACGCCTTCTTCGGTTCCGGCTTCAGTCGCGCCGTCGTCACCATCATCGGCACATCCGCACTGATACTTCTCCGCGATCATGTTGCAGTCGAAGATCTTCTTGCCGAGCCTGGAATTAACCTGATTGTGTACATGACAGCCCCACTGCGACGCCGCAATTCGACTCGACGTTTGCGGCGGGAACTTCTTTAGGATCTTTTGGAAGTGGGATGCACATTCGCCGCAGGGGTATACCCGCGAGAACAAGTAAATGTATGACGATAATGCCTCTCGCTCTTCGGCTGTCGGTTTCTCAGGATACCGCGCCAAGATAGTGTGGAATAATTTCCAGGACGCACGTCCTAATTCCGCCTTGATCGTCTCATTCCCAAGATGTGGCATGATCGGGCCGCCTTGAGACAGCTTCTGAGACGAGACAGGAACGGGACCTTGTAATGGGTCGTAATCGCTCGCGTCGGCAATGTCATGCACAGTTGTCTCTTTCGATTTGCCGGTATTGCTCCCCGGTTTCAGGATGACGGGACGATTGGGGTGCAGGACATTGTTGTTAGCCTTGAGCGTAGTGCCAGTTGCTGACGACGGAGACGAATTTGAAGAGATTGTAATGATAAATATGACTATTGTCGCGATTATCGAAACTAATGCTAGTGTCGGCTTGCGAGTCATGATTCTCGCCATGGTCGTGTTGCAGCGATGGTGGTCGTGTGGTAGATGTAAGTCTTGGTACCGTACGAGTTTACTGGACACGTTGGATTAGGCTGGCAATACTCGGAACTATGTGGCGCTAGCCAGCCAAGTCCACTGACATTCACTGTGCAACTGCGACAAGATAGTAATGAACAACTATTTTCTGAATCATGGGAATGCATTTACACTTAGTTTACAAGTTTTACTCAGGTTGATGTAGCTGGATCTGGTAGCAAGATTGGATATTTTGCTGAGATCGACTCAAGGGCCCAACAGCGCAGTGATTGCTAACACAGAGGAAACGCTGGCTGACTTGATAATTAATTTTGGATCGTTAACACGATGTGAACCAATGCCGGAATTATAATGTTGAAGAAATTTATTGGTTTAGACTTGTGCTAGATATGCTTGTGCGATTTTCCACGGTCCACAATCCCTGACTTGAGCTATATATATATATATATATATATATTATGACAACCAAGAGAGTAATAATGTTAAAGTTATAGAATACAGTAATGCAGATTATGATTTCGAAGACTGTCACATATGTAAGGAGCGCTGGTATGAGGGATTGGAATTTGCAGCAATACATTTGATCAATGCTTGGATCATGCATGGCATAAATAAATATGACTGAGATTAATACTGATATAGAGAAGAACCTACATTGTAGAATACAGAGGGGCTAGTTCTGTTGGAGGATAGATGTGGCGGCATTAGGACGACGAGAGATTTTGATCCAAATACAAAGTAATATATAAAATAATACGCAATAGTATTGATAGATGATCTAGTGTACTCTGTCAGTGCCTCAACATAGATCTTCCAAAACAATCTCTCTTGACGATATTACCTGGTAGGGTAGCAAATGGCTGTGACTTTGTGAATGCATAAAGTGGTTCCATGCCTAAGGGTGTGGTGAACATATTTTGGATCCATACAGCCTCAATAAAGATGACGAGAGTTTACGCACACAGCACGCTACACGAGCAAATTCAGTTATCATTTTTGTAATGCTCGAGAAACAGTTGCCGTTGCATCTTGCGTAATGAATGGATATATGGGGTATAGGAGGACGGATTGTGTGATAACATGACAGACATAAAACATGAAACATTAAAACTCTTGATGAAATATTATCAGGCTGTTATAGATATTTGCATAGCCGTGAAGTGAATATGGCGAAGCTGGCGGTGCAATAAAGCTGTTGAGGGATGGAATAGAGACCGTGGGTGATTGAATCTGGCCGTCAAAAGTATTGCGAAAAGCTGTAGTTAGCGATAGTATGAGCCATTAAGTAAAACAACAAATAAAACATACTCAAGCACAATCTACGAAACTGGCACATCCGGACGCAGGTAGTCGGATGCGAAACGGGTGTGTTGAGGTGGAGATATGCGGTAATGAAGAAGGGCAATTGCGGATGGGGAAAATTTGGGAGATATCGAGGTGAGCCGCAGCGGGACGAGGCGAATTCACGTGACTCGACATGCGCCGGGCCGGCATGACGCTAATCCTGATTGGGCACCCGTCACGTTCCGATTGTGGCTGCGGCGAGTTTGGCCCCGCGAATAACCTGCATCTGGTCATTCTGGAATGGATACGGAGAGATTATAGGTAGGTTACTGATGACAGAGCCTAAGTTGGAGTATCTGTGGGGGAAATGAGATGTTAAGGATGGGCTATAGCTAGATCTTCAGTGGGGGGGTACGGCCAGCCCCTGAGCCGCCGAGCAGAATTACAGATGTGGCGGGTACAGCGAGTTAAACGGTGGAATTAAGTAAAGAACACTTAATCCTTAATCCAGCAGGATATTATCACAATTTTCTGCGAATAATGTTTACCATTAATGTTAGGTGGTTATTGACATGTCACAGTTAGGGAAAACCTCTCTCGGGTAAGGTGAAGGAAGCGGTGCGGCGCGGCACGGGTCTGGCGATGACGGCGGTTTGTTTGTTCGCGCTTTAGTTTTTTGAGTGAGCCGGACACTGGACGCCTGGTCCCGTCGGCGACTGCGCACGCCCCGCCCTCCGTCGTCTTCCTCCAGCCATGCCCAACCCAACCCACACCATTAATGGCGACAATACTCTCCTTCTCTCTCATTATTCTCATTTCCACCGCTACAAACTCTCACCAGCATTCTCGTCCGCATTCTCATTCCACATTCACTCACTGCGTGACAAATCTTCCTCATCCGCACTTTTGACACTGCATTTTCCTCATTCTGATCGGCCGTATCTACTTTACCAAATCCAGCCCCACCCAATTGAACCGGTCGTGGCAAAATGGTACGCATTTATTTCTCCGCAATACAAACTCGGTCATTTCACAATCATCCATAAAATCGCATCGCCATTGCGGTTCACTACCCAGTCATGGCTAACCTCTTCTTCCTATCCAGGTCCTGTTCAAGCGTAAGGTCGTCAACGCCTTGCCTCCGCCAAATATCAATGACTTGAATCTGTCCCAGGATGTCTGGTACATAAAGAAGACCGGCGAATATTTTGTTGACTATGAAGAATATTTGAAGCGGATGGATTTCTACAGCCAGGTACGTCCGTTCATCTTTCCAGCTCTCTAGACAGCGTCCCTAATTAACAAAATTTGCAGCGACGGTTTATCTGCGAAATCTCAGGCCATTCAAATCTATCCTTTTTCGAGGCTCTCGAGAGCGAAACCAACGAGGCTCGCGAGGTCGACGAAGCGTTTCCAGAATCCCTCAAGGAGCCTGTTCTCCGGCGAGTCCAGTTCTCCACCACGTCTCGTCTCGATCATCTCGTCGATGAAATCTACGAGAATTTCAAGAATGACTACTACCCCGGCGAATTTGTTTATGCGACCATCAGCAGCGAGAAATTCGAGGTCCTCATTCGCGAAAAGGCGCAGTTCAATGCTATACACCTCCCCAACGGCGAGATTCGCCCCGCTTTCGCCAAGTACCGTGTCGAAATTGTGGCAAGCGACAGAATTGGTCAGGAAGAGTTTGTCGACCAGACTCAAATTACGCGCGACCGCAAACGATTCTCAAAGAGCATGCTGAGAACCTTCATGAAAAATGCTATCTCACGTGAACCTTGGTCAGGCGCCCCATGGCTCGTCAAGAGCAAGTATGCTCGTAAGTACCGTATCGACACGAACGTGCCACTGCATCTACAAAAGAACGGCGGGCTGTCAGATGCTGAAGTGGCGGCCGAGCAAGCTAGAAAGCTCAAAGAGAAGAAGCGTCTGGCCCACCAGGCCGAACGGGAACGTCTTCAGAAAGGAAAGGACTTGCTTAAGGAACAGCACCGCAAAGATAGGGAAGAACAACGAGAAAAGGAGAAGAGAGAACAAGAAATTATCAGACGCCCGCATTCTACCGAGGATCTAGATCTAATTACCTTGTTCGACCCGCCATTCATGCGCCCGAAGCTCAAAATAGAAAAGGCGTTTCCACAAGAACAAATTGAACTGCTGCTGGAGACATTTATGTTTCTCAACATGCTTCATGAAACTTTGCTTCTCACTCCGTTCACATTCGACGATTATATTGGCTGTCTGCAGTATTCGTCTGCAGAGCAGCCTTGTGAACTTTTCGTCGAGATACATTGCGCGATCCTGAAGCTGATTGTCGATAAGGAGAGTGATGACTTTATGATTGAGTTCCCACCGAGGCCCACACGTGAAACCGAGCATGCTGAGCACGATTCAATGGAGGTCGATGTTAAGCAAGAAGAAGCCGCTGAAGTTGACATTAAGCCTAAGTCAGCAATTGACAGCGAAGTCACTCTCGAACCAAAGAATCGACTCAAAGAGATGCAGAAATGGCGCGATGGTGACTGGAAAACGCGTCTGCAGCGTCGATTGTTCCTCAACGGC